ATTGTGTGTTCAGTAAGCCTGTATTACTACTCTTAAATGAAGATATAGTATTAATTTACCTTTCTGTAATCAGAGGGGACCTTTCTAAATCTGACACCAAATTCATTAATGCTTATTCGGTCAATTTTATGAAAAATTAAAGGCATTTTAGGCACTTGAATTGCTTCCTTGCACTTAAATACCCCATAAGTTGGACGATTTGAGCCTGCAAAGTTTTCTAAAGTGCTCTGTTTTTATCGAAAAAAATTGGAAGCAGTTCTGTCTTTCATGAAGTTCGCTAAAGCATAATTAATTGTTACTTTATAATTTCCTAAACTAATTTCACCTCCCGGTTGGCCATAGAAACTGTTGACTACAGTGCGATAGCGGGCATTATGCTCGTCTGCTTCCAGAAAAGTCATATGATCAATACTTTTTGTGCTCAGCCAACGATGCGGGTGACCGACCGATTTATGTGGTCAACAAAAGCGGCTGTAGATCGTAGGTTTTTAGTAAGAGATCCTCTTAGTTGGCTTTCCTCTACCCCAGTTAAGTAGTATGAGCATTTATACTAACATCAAATGGCAGGCGTCTTGATGGTTATCATTAACCCTTAAGTTGACTTCAGGCTTCACAGAGAGGAGGAGGAACATCAAAGTGAAAAAAAGTCGAGAGGGGAGGAGGGATAGGAGTGTTTCAAAGTCAAAGGCGTGATTCAAGATGTAAAGAGAATTTCAAAGATGTAAAAGAACAGACAAAAAAGTGAGTGATTCAAAGATGTAAAAGAGACAGGCACAAAGGCAGGGGGGGGAACAGAAGAGTGTTTCATAGATGTAAAAGAGAGAGACACAAAGGCAGAGTGTTACAAAGGTGAGGTGAGTACTGTGGAAGTAGTCGAATATGACACGCAGTCGGGCCATGGTAGTATGAAGTGAGAAGTCAACTGCCAGTTACTAGACTTTTTTGTCGTATGAGCACACGTTGTCCAGGTTGCACCACGGGGAGGTAAGTCTATCGCACACCCCATATGAGCATTTATAAAGGAATGAGAAAGTAATTGTGAAACTGTAATAGTTCCTAAGGTCGAATTTGGAAGCCTATTTAATGGCCATTGGTAAATAACGATCATCCGATATAAGCTGAAGTTTTTAGACTTTTACGTACTAAGTCGTATATTATTTAATAACGCAGTGTTCGTACTAGCGTATGAAGTGGAATACTACTGTAGTGCATCAACTAGCGCTACCTGCAAGATTTTCAATGCTGTTTGAATTTGGAAGTCAATGTAGCGTGCATCTGGGAGTCATACTAAATTAGTTCCGCTTGTGGATGAGCTTAAACTGCTCTCATCTGATAAATGACATTTGTACCATGTGGAAACTGATTACCATTCCAATTATAGGCGGGCTGAGTACGTGATGTTGCGTCATGTGGCATAGCAACACAAGCGTGTTTAGGCAGGTATATGTTGCAGATGGTGGGTCACATTTTAAGACCAGCCGTGGATTTCTTTGTTTATCTTTAAGGCCTAGAAACAAACTCGATCGAGACACTCAGCTCCCTGGGTGGTTTTAATGTCTGAATTATTTAAATTGCCTCCAAATTGACATGTCGAGACCATGCCCCCTGTGGCGTTTAATTTACCCCTCGAGCGACAACATCATTACTATCTCCAAGTTCTGTGAGTGAAGTCAACTGTCTACTTAAATAACATGCACCATTAATTAATGAGCTAATAGAATACAATGCTTTCTCAATCAATCAATCAATCAATCAATGATTGAATTCTAGTGACTAATTTGTCAATTTTGAATAAATAATGGAGTGACAATGGTCTGATTATTTTCCAGCAAATGGATTACTGGGTCAGAGACTACTAACAATAGTTTCAAAGACTGTTAAGGTATCGTCCAGCGTGTCCGTCCTGTGGACTAAATGGTGGTATAGATGAGGCTCATTGGTGAGAAAGTCGAATTCTGTCAACCCTTTTTAAACCAAGCTCAAACAAAGTGGTTGGTCACTCCGCGCAGTGATGAGTACTGGACTCATCACCTCCGATTTCTTGGATGTTAATCACTACGTCGAAATTTGCATTAGACTTGTCCATGTACTACAACAATGACCTGAATCCTCCAGTGTTTTCTTTTCAAAATTCCGAATAGTAGGGATTTGATAAATAAACCTTGACAGATTTTTTTCCCAGTGGACGATTTGAGGAATTTAGTTATTTTGTCCAAAAGGATGTTTCCAGTTGACTAAGCAAGTGAGCACAGGTGGTTAATCCGTCTAATAGTTCTAACATTCAACGACCTACCACCAAATACATGCCGATAAGCTACTAATTACCAAAATCTCAGGGGTCAACGTGGCGTTAATCGGGAATTAAGTCACCATTTAACTGACTAGATATCAAGGCTTTATAAACGTTCAAAGCTTTAAAAAAGTTTAAATGGAGTGGAAGGAAGGCAAGAACTTTGTACTATAGCGACCCTCTTCTTTGGTCTGAGTTAATCAATGGGGTTGACCAACTGCATCTCAGGATGTGATCTGTTTGGCATCGATCTCAGGACCTCTATTTTAGCCGATGTGCACCACCGGGTCACTCAAATGTGTTCATGCTATAGTTAACAAGACGCGGTTAGGAAGCATTTAGAAGATATTGATTAATAGCACTCTTTTCAGATCGAATACTTACGGAAAGTGATGAAATTCAAGTTTTCTAACCGTGTTTTAGCAGACGAAATATTCATTTCTGCATTGACGAACAATTTTACAGAGGCATGTAGAAAAAGCGACAAGTTTATTTTACCTGCTATGTAATTGACATTTCACTGTCTGATTATAAATATTTACCACTTGTTTTGTTTCGGGGATGGGGGAGGACAGATTAAATAGCCATCTGATAGAGTCCTTTAAAATAACGAAAAAAACGATGTAACGCGTCATAATGCCAATCTGGAAGTGAATAAGCGATAAAATGTGCCATCATGCACTTTAACAACTGCTTAAAACCCTACCGAATTTCCTGCGTCTAGTTGTTATTCAGCCGCTGGCAAATAAACTTTCACATATTTCAAATATTAGCCCTCCAAATTATGGACTGCTTGAAAGTGACGCTGGTTGAAATATGAATGGATTATTTATCTACCAAGAGATGCGGGCGGACAGATTTACGGACATTTAGGAGCTTTGCAAGATCAGAGGGTTAGCAACCTCAAATCTTTATACTATGCGGGTCAATATGACTAGCCACATTCTCCTAAATCTATTCTAAATCCGGAGATTTGTTTATGGCCACCAGGTCCTATTATTACTCATTGGGGGCAATTAACGATTTTCAACTGTCCCTATTTGCGCAGGAGTTAAGAGACAGGTGCAAGTTATCTCAAAATTTATTGCCAATCGATAATGAGTAGGTAATGAGCGTAGTTGATTTACACCACTTGAGCTATTCCTAAATTATGGTACTTTTGCAATAAGAACGCGCAGAATGGCCCAAAATGTACATAATTGAGCTGAAACATTTACCATTTTAGTGGACAGGTTTGAACTTGTCTTCGTAGGCGGTAGACATTTGAAGCGGTGTTGGGGGGGGGGGGGGTGGGGGAGGTTGAATTATTGTTTGTCATTTAAATCCCGGCAAGGAAGGGAGGCCAGGGTGTCTAGACCTATAGGTCCCCCCCCCTCTCTACCCTGGACCCGTATCTGAGTTGGAAGAAATATTCAATCATCTGCTTTCATTCTTTACTCCAAATGACCATCCAATTGTGGGAGAGCCTCTATGATTATTTGGAAAGTCATGACATGGAAACCGCAATTAAAATGACATTTGTAGAAGTGGTATATTATTAGGACCTGTAGGTATAATGAATACGTTCGGAGTCTGCCATAATGTACCCATCAAATCTTTTCTGACGTTTAACAGACTTTATCAACTATGCACCCAATTTATAGGTGAATTCATACCTTTATTCAACTGCTATTTCGAATTCTGGAAGCTTTTAAGTTCAATTGCACAACCATCAGTGAACTAGAACCACCTCAAATGGCTTTCATTAATACCCCCACCTACCAAACTAAGTTTAGGCACTATCAATTTCATAGAGGCAAAAATGTGCGAGTCTCTCTGAACGAGACGAAGACAGATGCTTTCCCAGGGAAGGAGATAATTTATTCCATTAGCACATTCTTTTCCAACTTGCTTCACCGATTAATAGTTGGTACAAGTACAAATCTCTAGACGTATCATATTTCAGGTGGTTTAATTCAACACGTTTGAACATAGCTAAAATTTGGTCTTCCCATGTCGTGTGTTTACAGTTACACACCTGCAAATAGTTTCGTCTTCTATACGCATTACCACACCTGGTTGGAGGAAGATGTGAAATACACTGGAACCGCTTTCGCAGGTGGTCACTTAAAGCTAACCACAAACCATCAACCAATTTGAACAGCCTTCAACATCACTTGCTTTCAACAGATAACCTCGTGTGAGGAGTAGAATAAACTACAATTAGGAAAAAATTAAGTCAAATTGGCTTGCTCCACGATCTAGTGAAGCTCATAAGAAACAATGACTACCAAACCCATGAGCCAACACTCATCTCGAAAGTCTCTTCGAGGAACTTCACTTCAGTGTTGGTCATTCTGTCCACCAGGTGTACACCAATATTAAGTCCCAAGTCCATTCAGACAAGGGGTTTCTAGAGGTAATCTTGTAAACTTATAGTACGGGACTCATATGGAGGTAATCCTTTTACAATAAAGCAGTTTTGTTTCTCGAAATCATGCCCGCCTCTCATACTGAAACCGCTTGTCCTTAATTTCCAAGTGCTCGTTTTGTCCTTCACCTCATACGCCATTGGAAAAGCCAATCCTTAATCCCTGAGCTCTTCAGAATTTCTTATACTGGCTGAAGATTTCTCTCTGATTATCTTCGCCGACTCGACTCGACTCAGGCAAATCGAAAATGAAAGGGAAAGCACTAAATATTCTCAAAATACATTGCATTTAAATTAAATCTATTGTAGCAAAATAGAAGGAAGGCGGCTCATAGATCCGGGAATGAATATCCGTGGAGGAAAATTAACGATTTCAGGTTCACTACGTTGAGTCTAAATGAAGATTCTACAATGAAATATGATAATGACTAACAAAGGCAGAAAACAAATGAGCATGAAATGCATAAGGGATACTTACAATAGGATTCATTTTATTTGAAGACGGTGGGGATTCGTCTTCAGAAAGGAGTAATTCCAAATCGTGGATGTATTCAATAACATGGTGAATGAGGTCAAGTTGTTTCACTGTTTTTTGACCTCGAAGTTTCGGAACCATTAGCTGAAGCTTCCTCATACATCCTTGCATTGACTGAAATGATTCCGTATTCGACCCATCAAAAAACGTACAATGAGCAGCGGTCATTCTGAAGTAATACTGTATCGAGAATTCACATTTCACCTACTATTTATACGCCAATAAAATAGCGGTTTATTATGTGAGCGCTCATTGGCTGAGAAAATATGCGTTTGTAAATGGCATAAGCCAATAAAAAAATAGAGTGAGTTATGTTTGGACACGCTCAAAGTGAGGGTTAGTTTCATTGGTTTTTCTTTTTGCCTGAGGCATTGGCTGTTTAAGATAACGTCTTATTTCCTAATTTTATCATTATACCATGGTCAAATCCGTTTTTTGAATGGGTACATACCATTTACTAGGTGGAGAAGGTGAATTTCGAATGCTTGCTATACCTTATATTCTAAAAAGTAATTTTAATTTATTTTATAAGTTAAAAGGGCCATTTTAAGGTTGTATTTAAAGTTACGATTTAAACAAGTTCATATCTTTGAAAATATCACATTTACTGAGATTGAAGTAGGCTTTGAAATTTGCAGACCTGCGCAGTTCAAGTTATGATTGACCACTAGGTTTTACTCTAAAGGTACCGGGGTGTGCGATAGACTTACCTCCGCGTGGTGCACCCTGGGCAACGTATATTCATACGGCGAGTCTATTAACTGGCAGTTGACTTCTCACTTCAAACTACCATCACCTCACTCTATGCCATATTCGACTACTTCTACAGTACTCTCCTCACCTTTTTCTATCTTTGTGTTTGTCTCTTACATCTTTAAAACACTCCTCTGTTCACCCCCCCCCTCTCGACTTTTTTCAATTTGATGTACCTCTGTGAAGGCTGAAGTCAACTAAAGGGCTAATGATAAATGAAACCTGAAGTCAACTAAAGGGCTAATGATAACTATCAAGACGCCTGTCATTTGACATATATAAATAAACTTTAAAGATACCTGTAAAAGAGCCAGTGATAATAAATTTTAGAACCTTAGGGTTGTATTTTCTTTGACCAGAATTTTTCTATTCGAAAAATTGGGCGTTGGTGCCCCTCCTATCTTTGTTCCTATAGCCCTAGAGTTGATATATTATCTGTACCTTGCAACTGGAACACTTTGGCTTTGGGCTCAACTTCTACGCAATGAAGTGAAGACAATTATCATTTTCCGATTACGGTTGCATTTGTGCACCAATAATCTTCTCTTTAACTTACCAATTTTAGTCTTCTAGTTGCCTTCTTCGATGATTACCCTTAACTCCTTTCAATACTAACCTACTAAAAGGCTTATTTCGTAAAAACTCGACTGCCTAACCAGCACAGCTGTAGGTAGACAACAATGACTGACAATCTGTGGTTAGTACTTGTTGTATAGGCTTTTCCTGCGACGAAGAGCTCTGAACACAGCTGTTAAAATACTGCACCTGGCTATTGCTATGGTGAATGTTAGAATGCACGTGTTGAAGGGTGGTGGGGGTAGTGGTGGTGACTTAATGACCCCTGATCACAGCTGCACAGGTAGCGTTATGGCCATCTGGATCTTGCCCCTTTCAGATTCATGGGTTAGATCCCATACATATGGGATTTATGGTCAATACCGCTAAGCCTATGAAAAATGAACTTGTTAAGGTCATAGGACAAGGTCATTTCCATAGGTAATAATCGGGTGTTAATAGTAGCGATGACTAAAAGGTAAAATCATTTTTCTACTAGCATTGTTGATCTTTATTAATATGATGTTTTAATTTAATAAAGGCAAAAGCTTATAAGGTACCAATTTACACATAGACAAAAGGAATTTTACTACTCACTATTGAGTGCTTTCAGTTGTGCTCAAAATTTACTTACCGTATATTTAGTTCAGGGGTTAACCTGTAAATAACGGTATATAATTTGTTATTTGCGATTTCAAAGGCCAGTCGAAATGGTTCAAAATCTGTTGACAAGAACTTAGGTAATTATCATTCATTGCCACAAGAGACAAGTACGGGTTTGTGTAACAAGAATGAAAGCAACTGTGCAAGTATTCCACATTCAGATGTTCAGCAGTGAAAGTCCAACGATGTTGGAGACCTGTGCATCAACCACCAATAATTTTAGAATTGCTTTCTCGAACTTCGTTAATAAGATTTATACCATCGAGATAACTAAGGGAAAGTTCAATCAAATCCGAAAAGACCTTGATGTAGTTGATGACATATAAATGAAAACAAGTGTTCGGCATAGACCGGCCGATGTCTTTCCACACAACGAAGATCTAAATCAGGAGAGAATTCAAGACATCAAGGTGCAACGAACTTAAACCTCGAAGAAAGGAGAAACAGTGGACAGGGGCACTCTCCGACATAGCCGACTGGTTAAGAATCGAGGCCGTTGCTGAGTTTAGACTACGTACCGGACACGATTGCTTGAAAAAACATCTTCACAGATTGGGAGTATGCACTTAACCCACATGCCCCCTATGTAACATACACGAGGAAATGAAGAAGACCCACCTGATTCGGTGTCCTGCCCTAAAGACATCGACGGAAAGCCAGAGATACTGGGAAGCAAGAAGACATCTAATGAACTGCTATTAATTAAATGCTGAATATGGGTGTAATGAACTGCTATTAGTTAACTGCTATATATGTACCCCCTACCCATGGGGAAAGCTGAAGTCAAAGTTTAAGGGCTAATGATAAATATCATAAAGCCTGCTATTTGAAATACTAATACTAATAATAATAATAATAAGTGTTTCATTTTTCCCATTGGCCGCTTAAAAAGTTACTGTAAGTAATATTCATTTTAGTGATGGTGTGCGATAACCTTACCTCCTAGTGGGGCACCCTGGGCAACAAATAGTCATACTCATACCATGACCCTATCGTATGCCATATTTGGCTACTTCCAGTTTACTCACCTTTCCTTTTTCTCTACCTTTATGTTTGTTACTAATACATTCGTGAATAACTCTTCTGTTCCCCCTCTCGACTTTTTGTGGCTATGATGTTCTCCACTCTGTAAAACCCGAAGTCAATCAAAGGGCTAATGACAACTATCATTTACCCTGCCATTTGAAATAAATAAATTATTCATGTGCTTACGTTAACATTATTTTATTTATTTATAACAAATGGCAGGCATTTTGATAGTTTCATTAGCCCTTAAGGTAACTTCAGGCCTCACAGAAAAGAAGAAATATCAATGTGGAAAATATTTCGAGAGGGGAAGGGGGGAAAGAAGAGTATTTTAAAGATGTGAAAGAGAGACACAAAGGTAGAAAAAGGTAGGAAGAGTACT